TTGCAGACCGTGTTTCACCCTGCCACCAATATTCCACCCATCAACCCCTCTTAACATTTGACCTCGAGAGCCCCACCTGTTTACTCAAACAAACCCCTGCACACATTCTTCACACTTCTTCTACTGAACGCTTTGTTCAACTCTGACGTCAAACCTTTTTCAGGCCTGCAAATTAAGAGTCATAATTTACACTAGTTCAGGATTTTATTCCTTCTCACATGAAGTTGTCTGGAGATTGGATTGCACTGAGATAAACAGAAATCTTTCTTTGTTTTGAGTGTAAGTTAAAGTCTCTGTGAATAGGAAATCTCCTGGTTAGCTGGTTAGTCCTGTACAGAAGGAGTGCCCTGAACGAGGAGAGCTGAAAATCTGACTTCTTCACACGTTAGGTTAATAAGTGTGAGGATGGAGGGGCTCCATATATGGACAGATACATTCACATTTTCTGGTTTTTCAAATGATTTGAGTGCACATAGCAATGTGCATAGAAGAACAACAAACTGAAAATGTTGTGGATTTGGTTTGCTTAATGCCAAAAATGATACAGTTTGGCTAGAGGACTGCTGAGCATACTAGTCTGGTATGTTTTTCTTGCTTTGTCTCAATTCCCTAATTGTGGTTCTACAGGAACTTATTACCCAGAGCCAAATTCCTCCAGTCCAACCAACACATAAACCTTCAATTTATAACTCACCATCAGAAAAACCTACCAGTGGATCGGTCCAGATTCTGCTTTTTCAGGTCGTCCACTGTGGAGTTCAGCCTTACTGCTGCAGAACAATAACATGGACTTTAATTTGGCATGACCTCGCTGCTTCTACTGTATTTATGTGTCGTTATGTGCATCTGTGTTTGTGTGTGTGTGGTCTGACCAGTGCCCACATCCACCCAGCACAACAGCATGGCCACCAGGGAGGCACACATCCATCCCCTCCCCTATTCCCACCACTGATGAGGCGGCTGCCCATTATGACGTCTGTAAGTTTGTCTTCCAGCATTTTTCCTGCTGGTTACATTCCTCTGTACAAACGGTCTCCTGCATATATAGTTGGTGATTTGAACTGAGCAAACCAGGATGGTATTTAAGCTGTTTACAGAACATGGAAAACAGAGTTTAATGGGGAATTTGATGAAAGCCTTCATTCCAGTTCCTTTGTTGCAAACAAATAAATCAATCCGTTGTTAAGGTTGACTGAGAAACAACTCCGGTTTAAAAGTCAGATTTCTAACGAAGGAGCTAATAATTCATGAGTAACAAATTACTGAGTGGGAGATGCTTTGTTGTATGACATAAGGTATTTGTGTCATGCAGAGATATAGAACGAACAAATGTGAACAGAAGTAAAAAGGGAGTAGCAGTTTATTTTATAGAGTATCAGTTAAGGAAAAGGTACAACATAAGCTTTAAATGGAACAGGGAACTATTGCCCCTTCTTAAAGATGATATACCATCAATGGCTATTAAAGGGCGCACGCTTGTATGATCAACAATCCATTGCAGGTCCAACTCAGAATAAAAGACCATGCATACTCAAATTCATTGGCTAAGTTTAAAATCTTTTAAATAATAGAAAAAGGTTGACTAGATAAATGGACTTTGGTAATTTTCAATCCTTGAGAATATACCAACTAATGCTTGGTGTTGACTGACATCACATCACAGTATTTCTGGTTATGGAAAATATTCAGAATTCAGATCAAGATCCAAGATCTCAGCATATTTGGTTACCCACTGCATTCTTAAATATGAGAGGGTGTAAGAGTTCGGGGGGAAAAAACCCTCCTTAACAGCTTGATGTCAGTCATTCCTTTGTTATTCAGTCCAAGGAGGCATAAAGAGTTTCACACAGGTGCACAGAGGAATTTTGACTTTGAAATGGCAGGCGAACGCAGCCGTTTCTTCTCAGTTTGGAACATCCTGTCACTTACCTGAGAGCTACTTCCTTTTAAGAAAAACATCAATATTTACAAGAATACAGAGAAGCCTCTAACTCCACCATGCCTCGCCTCGGCCCCCCCACCCCCCAAAAACCTGCAAGCAGATTTCTCTGTTCCAGTTCCAGATGTCATCCCATCAGCACCAGCTGTACCTCATCTTTATTTATGACTTTTCGCACTTAATATTCGTACATCGCCGACAGGACATTTTCACAGCAAATACCACGCTTCTCCTGCTGGACTCCAAAGTAAAGTTTACATTCCTGGGCAGCGGGGAGAAATGCTTCCCCTTCAGCCCCTGAGGATAACAAGGATGCTCAGCGACAGGTAGCTTTAGCACATGATGTCAACAAAGCAGGCTTTATCTAAGCTAGACTTAAGTAATGGGAGTTTTGACCATGCGTGTGTTGATATGATCTACAAACCTGAATGACTTTGGTTGCTTAAATTGTATCAGTGGTGCTGATAGGAAAGTCATTTTGTGGTACGTTTAAACTGACTCATTCCAGAGAGGTTTGATACTGACAGAACTATCAAATCTATTCCGAACTACAGTGGATTATTTTTTTTATATTGATGGTTCAGCATTGATGGTTTGACTCCAATTTTTTGACGCGACAGCAAATTTGAAGCCAGAGCAATGAGACCCGAATTTCTCAGTGACTACGTGAACAACAAAAATCAGGATCCTGGCCCAAACCACTGAGGCCAGATGTCATTGCCAGTGGGCCAGTTTGACCATGCAAGACACATGGACAGACAGAGAGCATCGTCGTACACAAAGTCCACAAGAGCAGCGATTCCAGGATGTGTAAGAACAACCCACTCGCCAAGCACTTTGCAGGTGAAAAATTCATACTGAATTTCTTCCATACCACAAAAAACATGTCAGGAAAAATTGAGCTTGGTCCATTTTAACCCAAGGTAAAAAGTTAAACTGAAGGCCACTGCAAATATATCCTTAGTAATGGAAAGAAGGATGGGGCAGAGCATAAGTAAAAGAGAGATTAGGGATACGTGAGGGAACGGGGATTCCCCGTTTCCCTCCAGGAAAATTCGTGCTCTGACTACTGAGGTGGTTGAACCTGAGGAACATTTTGATTCAGGGATCAGACCCACCCAAAAAAAAACACCAAAAAAACACAAGAGGGAGAGATCAAAGCTCACACTGAAAGTGCTGACACTGATGCAGTTTGTAGAAACCTAAATCTTCAGAATCCTTTTCATATATGAATTGATGGGTGCAGGATTTTACCATGTGAGTGCCAGCATCACAAGGAGGCAATGTTGAAGGTGTACTTTATGGCTGTCAGAGGCAGATATTTTAAAACCATTGTTTTTCTCATTTTTGGCACATCACACTTGTTCCCTGATTCATAAACTCATACATATTGTGCCATCCACCTACTACTAGATCTTATGTAATATAACACTGCAGTGTTACATTTGCCTGAATAAACTACAAGAAATTTGACATCATCTGAATTTTCTGAGCAACATACACATGCTCTTAGCACTGCAAAATTTTAATTTGCCTCTCTCCACTTTCCTATTGCCATTATTCATATATCTTGTGGTGTAAATGCTTATAAGCAGGAGAAATGAAGGCTGCAGTGTCTCTGGTAAACAGTACAGCGCTGTCCTCTAGTGGCAAGACCGTCCTTGCAACTAAACAAATGAACCGCTCAATTTCTTTGGTACTATTAAAGTCGGTTTAAAAGACATATTTATTACATAAATCTGTATTAAAACTTTGGACATGGAGTTTTTATGATATGACAACAGATCCAATACCGTCAAAACTTTAGAGAGTATTGGCTGGCACAACTTCAGTTTAATATGTGAATGTCACTCATCTATATTTAACTTTTCATGTTATCATGAAATATTAACTTTTGTTCATTATAATAATAATAATGATGACCATGACAGGCCGTTGTAATCCATATCCTTTATCTTATCAGAGCAGTGTGGATGAATCACTTTGTTGTTTTACAGTCAGGATGCTGTGTTCAAACTTCTAAGTATGTAAGTCTTATAAATAGAGGTGGGTTTTTAGGAGTTGAATAGAGATACTAAAATCAACAACTGCAAATAGAGCAATAAATAGTATTTCGGGGCTAAATGTTTTTAAATAGTATCATGCTCAAGACATTGTCTTTTTTGTGTGTTTTTGGGGGAATAATCTCGTCAAGTATAAAATCTGTAACTTCTAATTAAAAAAAAGAAAAGAAAGTTGTCTAAATGTCTATAGAAGAAATTCCTCCAGCGCTCTAATGGAAAGGAAAACTAGCAGCAACTTGTCATTTCTTCTGTCTTTTGTCTGATGACGCACCCCCACACCTAATGTCAGTGAGCTTACAGTTTTCCCAGACAAACTTAATCTCCAGTTCATTAAAACTTTTTTTCAGATTTCGGTGAAACCTTTGAAGCCGTTACATGAGGTCCAGTTCTTTAATTATTTGTGCTTTTTTACCTCTAAATAACATGTAAACAAAATCCCATTTACCGTCTTCACACCCAGCTTCTGTTTCAGTGCTGTTCAGACTGGAAACTAAATGAATCACCCTAAATAAACACTGATGAAAATATTACTACATCGCAGTTATCCTTCTCTCCGTCATATGGAAACCACTCTTACTGTAACTTTGCACCCACTTAAAACTTCCCTCATCCTCCACAGCTCTCAAAATCTGGTGAGAGGAAAATATTGCTTAGCTTTTTGCAACAACCTGCAATGTTCAGTGTGTTTACCAGCCTAAAATACTCCCTGTCCTACTGACGCCCAGTTCAACCCACCCTGTGCCAGACACAGAATTCACAACCCTGGGCACCAAATCCTCCTGAACCGTCATTCTGCCAAGGAAACTTTTTCCTTCTGCGTCACAGGAGTCTGTTACTTCCACTTCACAGTCCAACCTCAACACTGTCTGCTCTGACATATACAAGCTAACTTCAGTCTGTTCCCTGACCTTATCCTCTCAAGAATGCCTTCCTCTCAACTATATAATAAACAGGGAAAAGACATAATGTACCATGTGGATTTTAACTTGTTTTCACTCTTTAGAATCGTCCAATAGGTTCAACTCACGGCCCTCCTTTGTTCTACATAGCCTTGTGCTTGCCTTAGCCTCATCAAATAACAGATGATACAGTCAGTAAGCTTGTTTTAGACTAGTAGAAAAATGCTGAGTTAATGCTGTTAACAAAAAACAGGAACAAACTCTTGCATAATAAGTAGATGAATTCATGTTTTTCTTGCTCATGAGAATAAATGCTTTACATCTCTAGTTAACATTTTAAGCTATCATTCCCTTTTGAGCAACAAAGTCCAAATAGATACAGTCCTTGCCTAGAATGTGCTTAAGATACCATAGTGACCTTTTAGATGAACCTGCGAATGTACAAAAGGGAAAGATAATAGTCAGCTACAGCGGCCGAGAGGAGAGAGAATATGACAAATTTCCCCTAAATCTGCGCCTAAAGGTCTTCATACAACCCAGCTTACTTAGATTTGAGTCAACGTCACTTTCCAAAAGTAACTCTAAACACTGCAGCATGTTGAATTACATTCAACTCAAAAATATAAAATGTCCAAAACCATGTGGAGTGTATGAGAGGATGGACAGTGTTACATAACAGACTGGGTAAAAGAACAAAGTCACAGCCACATCCTGCATACAATGTTCTCTAACTTTTCCCTTTTCATCATCTCTTTCATGCATGTTTGGGCTAAAATATTGATTAAAAAATGTGATAACTTTTAGGAATGAATGCACTTAGCTACACATTGTAGCACTGGAAATTGCTCCTGCACGCATGACATAAGGCAGTGAAAATGTTTGGCTTTACTGTAAGTCAGCTGCTTTAGACAGCTGGACAAACTTTTTATTTTTACATTTTTCTCATGAAACAGCTCTGCGAGATGCAGGCATCATATTACATTTTTTTGTATGATTAAAAACAACTCTTTCCACTTTAGATCCAATCATTTATTCAGCAAACAGTGGGCAGTTTGTTTCCATATTAAAAACACACACGAGATTGTAATTGTTCATAGCTGCGATGTCGTGGTAGTTTTAGTGTTTGCCTTAACCTGCAAAAAGTACTGTTGTTTGGAGGGCTTTGGTTGGTTTAGATTCTAGATTGTTCTCACGTTACTTACAGCAATAAGTAGTTTGTCAGAAAAAAAATTAAGAAAAATCTCTCCTCTCACAAAAGAAACACACAAAATGTTCACTCAACCCTACTGATCAGATCTTTCCTGAGCACCAAAGACCAACAGTAACCTGTAATGAGGTCCGATCAATAACAGATAGAAAATGTGCTCAGGAATCTTGCACAAGCGACATGACTGGATTTGAACAAGTGGAACAAATGATAAAACAGAATTCCAAGAATGACTTGACCCTTGCCTTTGGTCGCAACTGTACATTGTATTTACATTCTTTGTGTGCCGAACAATTAATAGGAAACATTTTCCTTGGCAATTTGGGAGAAATGCAACACCTGCTTAAAGGATTGGACAAGCCTCTCCCTTAACTGGCACCGCAAGGAGTGCAATTTAATATCCTAAGCATAATATTTAAGACAGGTGTGTTGAAATATTATCATAATAGAAATTATTAATGTATGATTGAGGTTGAAGAGAAGATGGCACTTAATGATTGATTGAAATATGAGAAATAAAAGTTTAAAAAATGTCATTGGTCTTTTCAGGTGCTGCATTCTGATAAGCTTAATGTGGTTGATTACACTGTTCTATCAACCAGGGCAAGCTTTTGTTTATTTGCTGTTCATTTGCATACCAGGCTGAACAAGACGCGTAGCTTTCCAAACTAAAACTGAAAGGGGATCAACGTATTGGCTGCTTCATTTCACCTGCACACATGTCTGTGAAGTGTAATATTTAACATTCGGATCAATAGAGAGACTCTGGACTTTGATGGGGAAGAGGTTGCTCAATGGAATGAGAGAACCAAGCAAAGTTCCGATCGTATTTACTGCTTAAGGGGAGAGAAATATCTGACAGGAAAAGTTCACCTAAAGCCAATTACGAGGATAAAGCTACCAGCGCTGGATCTGCTTCACAGTACAGGAGTGTGTGAGAACGGCCTCAATTTTTGACAGCACCCCAGATGATAAGTCCTATTACAACAGCAGCTACGGCCAACACAATCATCAGGATACACATCTTCTTCCGGGAGCTCCGCTGAGGGAAAGAAGAGGGGAAAGTCATTCTAGCCAGTAGATGAAGAAGAGAGTTATGAACTGACATTGAAATGTTTTTTTTAAACCAAGCAAGGTTGTGTTTCTGAGTTACTCACAGTGACTCCAAAACTCCTTGTTTGTTATTTTCACCCTCATTTATAAGAGCAAGCCGACTAATCACTTTCTTTTGTGTGAAGCTCATTCTTAGGTTGTCGGTTGCTTTTTCTTTTTTAAATCCAATTTGTTTCCCTTTCCTGTCCTCCTTCTCATTTACCTGGTAATCTGCAGCACGTGCCAGCTGCTGCGTGGCATTCTGGACATTGACATCTGCATTCTCCACATTGGCTTCTATGCTGTCTGCAGAACAAGAAAGAATCCCATGCAAATCGTTGGTAATCACAGAGCATGTGTCATGTGGGGTTTTAATGGTAGTTATAACTAACTGTGAAAATATTCCAACAAAAGGAAATGGAATGCTTCATTTTCTTATGAATTCCTCGGCCGTCTTGGTTTTCCTGACATGAACGGTGCAACAACAGACAGGTGACGGACACTCACCTATCATGTCCCCCTGCTCATGAACCATCATCCCCAAGTCCTTGAAGATGTCATTGATGTCGGTGATGTCAGACTAGATCAAAGATTAAAAAGAGATGGCTCAAGTTAAGCTACACTGTGGGGGTGACTCATGCATGTGGCTTGCAGGTAAATGCCAAAACTCAGAGCCGGTCAGTGGTGCTCATGAGACCAAGGCTATGATTCATACCTCCAGCTGCCTGATGGCTGACTCCCTCTCCTGGATCAGAATCAGGTCTTCTTCAGTGATGGCCTCACTTTGAACCTGTACCTGGGAGTAACTGCAGAAACAGATGCAAAAGAAAATCCATTTAACAGCAGCTTTAATAACAAAGATGATAATAAATGAAAGGCTGAGTCAGCGGATTTACCTCGGAGGTGCATTTCCAAAGCTGTCATCAGGCTGGCCTCCCTGTTAAAGATATTTTATATTTAGGCACTCCTTTGAGCTCATTCTAGCACAGAGGCCAACATTTTCTTTCACCTATGTGCAGCAATGGTTCAGGAATCCCATTAATTTAAAATACGTGTAGTACCTCATCAAGGTTAACTTCTTTCACTATAAGGAATTAGGGTTTAGTATCATATTTTTAAAACTTAGTTAACTAGAAAAAGATGCATCACTAATGTTTGAAACCATTTAAAGGGGAGAGTCCCTGACCCTGCTTGTTGGAAAGAATAGATACTTTTCTGTGTGGTGAGATTAGCTGAGAGGGAGTATTGTTGCCAAGCAAGCAGGTTCCCTCAGAGGAATCTGCACCAGAAACGGTCCAATTAAAAGGTGCCGCTAAAGGCTCAGTAACTTGAGAGCTTCTTGTGGATACCTTTTTTAACAGGGAGAATGAAAGAGAAGCTAACATGTTTCTTAGACATGATAGCTAGAATTTGCCATGAAGATATACTGAAGATAAAACTTCCAAAAGACAAAGTTGAAAGAGATTTTTGTATCAGATATTTTAGAAGTTCAAGACCAGCTGATGTTGTGCTTCATTAAGAGATTGAAGAGAACTGTTGATTCTTTTTAAAGGTTGCCACTTTATTTGTATTTTACTTTCGCATTTTGTCACGGTATAAAAGGACATAAAATAACATTTCATGTGTGTCTAACTTTTGTCTTTGCAAGGTTTCATAGATGCAGCCAAACCTGAATATGTGGTGTGGAGGTTTGTACTTTTGCCTCATGTTCCCGGCTGGCTATTCTCGCTTCCTTAGCGATTCTAAAATGACCCATGAGGGTAAGAGCGAGTCTTGAGCGTACCCAGTTTTAAAGCATGTTTGTCAGGCCAGGGCATTCCATACTGTACATAACATGGCTGCAGGGAAAGATTCCTGCCCCCCTGTGACCCTGAACAGAACGTTTGATGGACTGATCCAACAAGAAGCTGATAACAAAGCCCACTGATAAAATGTTATCATTAGTTTTTCGGCTAAGTTGTCAGTTGACTGTTGATAAAAAAGTGTTTCATCCTTTGCGTTAAGAGGCTTTTCATGCTTAAAACAATTAATAGATTAATGTTAAGTGACAACTTTTTTTTAAGAAATAAACATTAGAAAAAAGGTGTCTCCTGACTTTTCCACAGAACTGGAGCAGCAGACAAAAGCAGTAAACTTGATCATTGTCAATGACTAGTTCTATTTCTAATAGAATAGAATTGTAATTGAGAGGAGAAAATAAACTACCCATTACACTCCTTTTAATGGGTGGCTCTCTCGTGGTCTGACCAAACTATCAGAAGACTCATACTGGCAAAAGTAGGTGTTGTTAGCTTACTCCCAACTTTAAAATCACTTACACGATTACAATCAGTATAAAAGGTGTGCTGCAGGAGTCGAAGGCTTTTGAATAAATCTCAGGTGGAAAAACAGGTTTTGTTACCCCATCAGAAATGTGTGCTAACAGCAAAGCCGAGTGATGACAAAATGTAGCCGATAATTTCAATCAATGTGGAATGTGTGATCTATAAAAGGGCCTGACATCTATTGGCTGGCAGTTGCCTACCGACACCCTGGAGCTGGCTCGGACTCTGGCCACAAACTCCCTCTCCTTGTCGGCCGCCTGCCTCTGCGTCTTCTGGAAGCTGTTCAGTGCAGCGGAGAAGTCGTTCAGCAGGCGCTCTTTCTGGAGCTTTCTCTGCCGCTGTAACACGCACACACAAAGACGGATATTACTAGAACATCTGTGAGCGCCAGGGACAGATGTGGCATTCAATCCGAGTAAAGCCTGCAGTGGAGGAGGAGTGAGGAGCGGGGTACCTGGTCGGGGCCGATGGGAAGTGCGCTGAACGCCTTGATCAGTCTGTCGGTGTCCTTTGCCAAGTGGTTACCCTGCTGCTGCTTCTGCTGACTGGTGATTAAACACAAACATTTCATTTTCATCAAAGATGTAACCTAGATATCTCTAAAAAGAAAGCAGACATTTTGACTCCGGGGAACTGTCTGAGCATTGCACCTTTTGACTTTGGGATGTACACACTGAGAAATCCTCAATAAGGAAGATTGGTAAATATCTTGGCCTTTTCCATTAGTTAATTATCTTATTCAATCCAGTGCAGTGACTCACTTTTGTCTGTAAATGACCTAATAACTATTCCCATAAGGACGGCCAGCCACGGTTGCTTCTGTGAGATCATCACTGATGTCTTTCCTCCTTGACATTGTGTTGAAACACACCTGAAGACTCCAAACCAGCCAATTGCCCAAATCTTTGATCAAACCAGTTGAAAATCAATTAATTGAGCATATTTAATGAGCAACATGGTGTTATTCACCCTCTTCTTTTAGCCTTTCATACTCTGCATCTGCACATTTGCTATTTAAAACTGACAGGTGTGCGATATCATAGGTGTTGGTCAACTTTGGGGACGGGGTAATAGTGCTTTGTCTTGCACCGTGCCCCCCATTTGTAAAAGCTCTGAGTCAAAAGAGGCCCCACTATTTCTTCAGCAGTTATAATAGAGAAGACATGGAATTTAAAGTAAGTCCTGGTAACTCACAGCGTCTGCCTCAGCTGGCTGCTGTCCTGCTCCGTTCCCAGCAGAGACACTGCCCTTTGCAACTCGGAGGCTGAGAAAGAAGTGAGAAAGAAGCATGGCTTATTTGAACTGAATCATCCCTCTTCCATGAATCAGATTGTTGCAATGAGTAAAGTTGGTGTGAAATGAACACTGGAGCTGGTGAGGAGGACTTTCTCATATGAATGTGAGCGCATTACTCAGCAGCGTGATCCTCTGGATGTTGGAGCTGATGTTCTGAACCAAAGCGCTGGGCTCCTCTGGAATCCCAGCCTGGTAGGCCATGATGAGAGCTGGGAGGACACACAACAGCACAATTGCAGTTTATTCAGTCACACTCTGATCCAATTACCACACTTACTGCGGTCAGCTCCCTGCTCTCATGACTGGCATGTGAAAATACCTTTTGGCATCCAAGCTCAAGCCATCTGTTTGGGTGTTTGGTCCATACGTCACCAGTTTGAATTAAAAAAAAACTAACGCAACACAAGAACTTTAGTGGCCGTGTTACTGTTTGCGGAAGCTTTATTATGTGTTGTTATGTCTTTAATTATGCACTTCAGGCACAATTTGCATTCTGGTCACGACACATTACGCGTACTTGTCAAAATATTACAGGCAGGAGGAGATCCTGCACAGCAAAAGCAGCCACACAGGTCACCTCCATAGCAGCCCATGGGATGGAGAGGGTCACACCTGCTTTTGTGTTACACAAGCAAGCTACACCCTGTGAAGCAAGAGGTTTTAATGCTGTGCCCTACTGGTGTTTCTTTGCTCTAACCCTCTTGATCTTGTGGTAAGACACCATTCATGACCTAATCAAGTCTGTAACAACTTTCAGTTCCAGCTCAAGCCCAAACTGACTGGTGAGGTCATGCAAGTGGACTATCCCTTTATGTTCTCTGTAAAACAAAAGTGTGGTGATCCCCAAAAGGCAGGAGGGGACCTTGTTTTTTGTTTTGTTTTCTTGGCAGAGGGGTCAGGAACAATGTGACTTTGTTTCAAAATATGTATCTACATGATGAAAATGAACTTTTAAAGCTTTCAGATAAGAGTAAACAGTATTAAATGTTATATGAAAGAATAGAATAGGCTATAGTTCAGTTTAGGAAACTGGACGTGAAGTTTTCAGGAAGACGTTTTGCCTCTCATTAGGTGAAAGAAAGAATAGTGGTAGATAAACACTAATGGGTAAAAAAGAAGAAGAACAATGTCAGATGGTATGAAGTGTTTTTTAAATTCTTAAAAATCAAGAAGAAGTAAAAAAAATGACTGCGGGGTCAGTAAGAAGAACACATGACAGCACACTTCCAAGTTGGTCCAGTTAAAATTCATCTCTTAATGGAGCGTTTGTTTTCTCTGCCGGTGTGCTGAGGGGGAGCGGGGTTGGGGCAGTCATGCAGAATTCCTGTGACTGAAACTACTGCCTACATGCAAATATACGTTTGCTGTAAAAACTGGAAAAAAAAGAACCTTTCATAAAAGTTTCGTGTCGTTTTCTTGTACAAAAGCCGCGTCCGGCTCCTGTCTGTGGACTGTCACTCGGTCATGTTTTGCCAAGAGAGAAAAACGCGGAAATCAAAGGAGCTGTTTAATGCCAACGTCTGATGAACGCGTCTAATTGATTATTACCGACTTATGAGCTTTTTACATCCAGAATCTAAGCTTGTCTTCGGTGATTGTTTTAAATGTTTCCTCGAACACAAAGTCTTGAGGCTACATTCAAAGTCGGAGCACAATCTGAAGATGTTTACCTCCCGTTTTGCCGGAGAATCGTTTCTATTATTTGAGACAACGCATGAAATGGGTACCGTCTACCTAAGCCTGTCTCTCTGTGCGTGAGCCTGTCATTCCAGCAGAAATGATCGGCTCCGATGTGGAAAAGTTTGGACTTTACCTTTCTTTGGGACTTGCAGCGGCGGTGTGTTTCCTGCTTTGCGGCCACTCCCCTGTCACATGACGCTCCGGCAGACTCACAATGTGACCAGACGGGCACCGGGAGGCAGCGAAACGAGCCAAACAATCCTTTTTTCCCTTTTTTTAAATGTATCTATACTGTATATATTTTTTTAGCTTCAGATGGCTGAAAAAATGAACTAATAGCATAAACACTTCTATAGAAATCTTGGTCAATCTTGGTCTTTTATGCCAGTGACAAATATATTCTTCATATATAAATGTGTTGTTATATTTTCTTTCATTAAAAAAGAAACAAACATCTAATAATGTGTCAGTTTTGATATTCACATACTTACTTTAGATCTTTTTTTGCATCCGTGAAAAGGCTGAATCTCTACATCATCAGATTCCTCAGATCATCAGTATTACTCAGTAAGATAAAAATATGACCAGTTATAGTTCTGCAATGTAGATAAAAATACAAAACGCTGTTAGAGCTCTGACCTAATTCTTCCCATTACATAAGCTATACGGCCCAAAACACAACCTCAGTATGATCAAATGGGGTTTTGCCATACACTCTCATGGGCAGCACATACTCTGATGGCCATGCTGACAGTCTAGAATTCCACAGGACAACGCAGCAGGAGGTTACGTGTTATTACTTAACATCGGCTGCCATGTGAAAGCAAGTCCAGACACAGAGTGTGATACATCAAAGTTCACACAGTTTAACCAAACAATTCTGTCTCAGACTCCAATGTGGAATACACTTTGAACTTTTTCAGTCCAGTGACATAAATAACATTTCTAGGCTAACTTTTACGGTACAGCCAAGAAAACAATCAAGGTGCTTTTTGGAAATTGGAGATTATGTTGACGACACTGCGTGACATTTACACCGACTGTAAGTTTTCAAGTTCAAAATCATGGTTAATGATTGAATAATATTTGTACCCCTTTTTCAGCTGGTGTACTCCAAATTCCACAACTGGTTATTTAGAATATATGTCCCGAAAATGATAAAATCTTGATATCTTTGAAAAAAATGGCCACGTGTACTTTGCTCCATGCTCTGTCAGAGTTTTTGGAAACTATTGAGCTCTGTTTACACAGATTCTCTTATCTTTCTCCCAGTGAAGGTCCATCGAACCAGATGTCACATGGCTTATAAGGGCAATGTGTGCGCTTGCTTGTGGTCAGAACATGGAAGTGTAAACAGCAAGAGTACATAAGCCCCGCATCTCAGACAACTCTCAGTCCAGACAACACGCTCTTGACTCCATCATTCTCCGTGATCCTGACACCTCAGTCAAGATGCGTCCGGCAGGCTTTGGCCTCATCCTGGCATGTGCAGTGGCTCTCAGTAGCGCTGCTGTTATTTTAGAAAATGGCATGCCAGTACTTTGGGCTCAAACCGCTGGCCAAGTAAGTGAGCTCCCAATCTCAAACGGGATTTTGACTCCTGATCCCTGGCATTTTCTCAACCGTATGAGTTTGTACCGGCTGATGATCGCTGCTACAGACCCCCTCATGGGATCCATGGGAATGAGCTCCACATTAAGTCCTCTGTGGGGTCTGCCACTGCAGCTTGGGTGGATGCTGACTTCTGGTATGATCTTTTTTCTCCTTCAAAAGTAATGCTTCCTTAAAAAGCTGTTACAGTAAATGCCTGTCTCAAACGTTACAAAAAAAGTTCCCTAGCCACTCAGACACAATCTTCCTTTGCAGACTAAAACATATGGAACTGGAGCCCTTAAGGGTACGGCATGCAAAGGATCCTGTCACCAGCTGATGATTTGTTGTTTCTGCAGGGCGACTTGCTGACCCGACTGATGCAACAACCTGTGGTCTGCAAACAGGAGATACCATGTGTATTTCAACTCAGAGCTGGTGGGGCTGTAAGTATGACAAACTAATAATTCATACAAACCAATAGGAAAAGCGAAGACTAAGCATCTTTCTGTTTCTCTCAAGGTGTGAACTACTTCACTTCTGCACTACCCTTCTTGTCTGCTGCACAGCAGGGCTTCTTTGGACCAGATGTTCAGGTACAAGTGATGTTTTAATCGAATTTTACACAATTGTTTGCGACAATGTTGATAATAATGAAGACGATTGCGATGATCATTTCCATATATCACCAGGTCCAGCTGCAGGTTCCTGCAGGTGTGGAAGACTACTGTACCACTTATGCTGACTGTTCAACTCGCTACCCCGATGCCATGTCAAAGTGGGATGCCTTTTTCCAGGTAACACAAAGAAAACGTTCACACAGTCACCTACATATCCAGAAAATTAACTGCAAAAGCTCAAAAAGCAAGCTACACATTTGTCATTAGGAGCACTTCACCAGATGACCAACTTCACAGTCTGAAACAGGAGTGTCTGTGTGAGCCTGTGAAACTGAACTGCTTTAAATATATTTCCTTAAAGGCTCTCAAGGCTTCCACTGAGTCTGTCCTGCCAGAAAATGAGAAGAAAGACTCTGTCCTTGGTGTCTACTGGGCCGCTCAAATGGCTTCAACCTATGCATCTGCAGCTTGCAATGCCAGGTAATCATCTACAGTCCAATTAAGTGAAAAAGTGTCCACTCACAATTATTTGGGTTTATGCATCAGCTCAGAAGTTAAAGACATAAACTCCTGATAATCTCAAAATGAAGTGCAGAAAACCTTTAAATAAAAATCATGATAAGAATCCATACCTTTCCCAACATGTTTATGTAATTTCATGAATATTAAAGTTATTTACATATAATCTTAAACTTGTAAAGTTGAAAATATAGCTGTAATTCTTGAACAGTCCAGAGTTGAAGATTGACAACTCTCAATATGTTTGGAAATGTATTGTAGACTGAAATGAGAGCTTTTCTGATCCTCGAATGATGTGCTTTTTCATTTGATAAAAGGCATTTTTCAGTGACCATGCTACATGGTATGTACACTTTCACAACACTATACTATCAATGTACACTATCCTTTACCACCTTTGCCACTTCGTTTAGTTGTATAGTTTTTAAAGAGAAAGTGTGGCTTTACATTTAAAACATTTTCATGACCACAATATTTTCCATGCTGCCCGTGTGAAGCTGCTAACTGTATCATGTGTAAAGGTGAATTCTATCATATCACGTACCCGTAAGATGTAACTGCATTAAGCAAATACAGACCTTGGGAGCATGTTTTTCACGTTCATATTATTTTTTGTTACTTGCCCTCCCATGCAATGCTTTAGCTGCTCCACTTGTCATATGAAAAATGTACCCTGCGACTCCATTAGGGAATAAGCTGATACGATAATGGATGGATGGATGGATGGATGGATGGATGGATGGATGGATGGATG